AGGGAACACACACTAGTCGCCTTGATGACAAGCAGTGTGATACAGTTGGGGACCACACAGTAGTCGCCTTTATGACAAGCAGTGTGATACAGCAGGCCTTATCTTTACAAAGAAACGCTTGTTGTTAGTCAGGGTCACATGATGACGGGTGCTAGGGAGACCCACATAAAGAAAAGAGCAGGGAAGTTAGAAAAAGAAAGAATTATGTCTCAAGTATTGCAATGGGGGCAGCATATCTATTTTGATAACTTTAATGTTCCCTTAGCAGAAGAAAGTAATATATCGATAGTGACTGCCATCACTGACCCAAACATAATGATTCCTTACAGTCTTTCAGCACCGCTTAGGTTATTATATATTTAAAAGCGTAATACAATAAAACAAAAACAAACAATTACATGCGAGGTAGATCTGTAGGTGTCCACGGTATGAACTCCTCCCCTGGCCCCGCGAAGTACGTGTCCACGAATTCAGCCAGCTTTACTTTGGGAACAGTGTCCTTATATTGGATTTGCAATTTGTGATATTCCAACAGGATCGTCTCTAAAAAATAACATGTGGGTTGTTTAGTTCTCAATAGTGACGTAACACGGATGTCACGTTGTAATTCACATCAGCTTCATGCGATTGTTGATTTGTTAGATTTTTTCTTGTCGATGATTACAGGACAATGTCTGCTTGTCGACAAACTAACTTATTCCCCTGTAGTTTTCCTCTATTGCGAGTTGTTGTTCGCATGACTTATTAGTTAGAAATGTTCGAGAAATCCAGTATAAAACTCGCTACCATTTTGGATACACCCTTTGAGACAGTCAACAATTACAGAAATATGCCTCAAGTTACTTATACCAGTGTCTAGTCGTACGTGATACGTGTCCTTTATGTAATGTATAGATGATACCTAACAGTGTCTTCAGTAATACGGCGGTATAGCTTACATTTTGATATCTTTCACGAGTGCGAAGCACTAAAACTTTGTAAGACTGTACGTCCAGCTACAAATCTAACGCCAACCTCGGGGACTGTAAGTCAAGCTACAAGTCTAATGCAAACATCGGGGACTGTAATTCCAGCTGCAAGATTAATGCCAACCTCGGGGACTGTAAGTCTAGCTACAAGTCTAATGCAAACATCGGGGACTGTAATTCTAGCTACAAGTCTAACGCAAACATCGGGGACTGTAATTCTAGCTACAAGATTAATGCCAACCTCGGGGACTGTAAGTCTAGCTACAAGGCTAATGCAAACATCGGGGACTGTAAGTCTAGCTACAAGTCTAATGCAAACCTCGGGGACTGTAATTCCAGCTACAAGTCTAATGCAAACATCGGGGACTGTAATTCCAGCTACAAGATTAATGCCAATCTCGGGGACTGTAAGTCTAGCTACAAGATTAATGCCAACCTCGGGGACTGTAAGTCCAGCTACAAGATTAATGCCAACCTCGGGGACTGTAAGTCCAGCTACAAGATTAATGCCAACCTCGGGGACTGTAATTCTAGCTACAAGTCTAATGCAAACATCAGGGACTGTAATTCCAGCTACAAGACTAATGCCAACCTCGGGGACTGTAAGTCTAGCTACAAGATTAATGCAAACCTCGGGGACTGTAAGTCTAGCTACAAGTCTAATTCAAACATCGGGGACTGTAATTCTAGCTACAAGTCTAATGCAAACATCAGGGACTGTAATTCCAGCTACAAGACTAATGCCAACCTCGGGGACTGTAAGTCTAGCTACAAGTCTAATGCAAACCTCGGGGACTGTAATTCCAGATACAAGTCTAATGCAAACATCGGGGACTGTAATTCTAGCTACAAGTCTAATGCAAACATCGGGTACTGTAATTCCAGCTACAAGATTAATGCCAACCTCGGGGACTGTAAGTCTAGCTACAAGATTAATGCCACTCTCGGGGACTGTAAGTCTAGCTACAAGTCTAATGCAAACCTCGGGGAGTGTAATTCCAGCTACAAGTCTAATGCAAACATCGGGGACTGTAAGGTTAGCTACAAGACTAATGCCAACATCGGGGACTGTAAGGCCAGCTACAAGACTACGGCCAACACTGGGTACTGATAGACTTTTTTCGTAACGGACTTTATTTTATAGATCACGTAGTATAACACGTTGCAATATATTCTTATCGCGCGTCTGCTGTTAAAATCGGACTGTGTTACCTGCGTTCCTCAGTAGACAACCATCGTCCATCAAATATGACTCATATCATGTATCAATGCGCAGTATATTTATTTACGGATTAGGACGCAATAGTTTAGGGGAATGGCATTGAAAACAAGGCCAATAGCCGTGTACTTCCAAAAACTGTTTTAAAACTTATAATGTTCACATTAATATGGTCAAAGATAATGTTGTATTAGTCAGGCCGTCCAATCGCTGCTTCACAAAAAGGAGACATTAACATAATTACTTTGTACTTGTTTTCGAATGTATAGCATGTTTGTATTACAGGAATATTATACCGATAATTAAATAAAGTATAAACGAATAAGACAATGTTTTCGATAAATATGACAAAAGTTTCATTTAGATACAATATAAAATGAATAAAAGAGGTCAATTTGTGGGTCACTTAAAGTCATAGGTCAACAACTGCATCATCAATATGATAATCATGTCATTTGTATATCATGTCATTTGTATATCATATCATTTGTGTTTCATTGTGTATCATGTCATTTGTATATCATGTCATTTGTGTATCATTGTGTATCATGTCATTTGTGTATCATGTCATTTGTATATTATATCATTTGTGTAACATATCATTTGTATATCATGTCATTTGTGTATCATTGTGTATCATGTCATTTGTGTATCATGTCATTTGTATATTATGTCATTTGTATATCATGTCATTTGTGTATCATTGTGTATCGTGTCATTTGTATATCATGTCATTTGTATATCATGTCATTTGTATATAATGTCATTTGCGTATCATGTCATTTGTATATCATATCATTTGTGTATCATTTCATTTGTGTATCATGTCATTTGTATATCATGTCATTTGTGTATCATGTCATTTGTATATCATTGCAATCATGTCATTTGTATATCATGTCATTTGTGTATCATTTCATTTGTATATCATGTCATTTGTATATCATTTCATTTGTATAGCATGTCATTTGTATATCGTGTCATTTGTATATCATTTGTGTATCATGTCATTTGTATATCATGTCATTTGTATATCGTGTCATTTGTGTATCACTGTGTATCATGTCATTTGTGTATCATTTCATTTGTATATCATGTCATTTGTATATCATGTCATTTTTGTATCATTGTGTATCATGTCAGTTGTATATTATATCATGTCATTTGTATATTATGTTATTTGTATATCATGTCATTTGTGTATCATGTTATTTGTGTATCATGTCATTTGTGTATCATGTCATTTGTATATCATGTCATTTGTATATCATGTCATTTTTGTATCATTGTGTATCATGTCAGTCGTATATTATATCATGTCATTTGTATATTATGTTATTTGTATATCATGTCATTTGTGTATCATGTCATTTGTATATCATGTCAGTTGTATATCATGTCATTTGCGTATCATATCATTTGTGTATCATGTCATTTGTATATCATGTCATGTGTATATCATGTCATTTGTGTATCATTGTGTATCATGTCATTTGTATATCATGTCATTTGTGTATCATGTCATTTGTATATCATGTCAGTTGTATATCATGTCATTTGCGTATCATATCATTTGTGTATCATGTCATTTGTATATCATGTCAGTTGTGTATCATGTCATTTGCGTATCATATCATTTGTGTATCATGTCATTTGTCTATCATGTCATGTGTATATCATGTCATTTGTGTATCATTGTGTATTATGTCATTTGTATATTATATCATTTCATTTGTATATCATGTTATTTGTAAATCATGTCATTTGCGTATCATGTCATTTGTATATCATATCATTTGTATATCGTGTCATTTGTATATCATTTGTGTATCATGTCATTTTTATATCATGTCATTTGTGTATCATTGTGTACCATGTCATTTGTATACCATGTCATTTGTATATCATGTCATTTTTGTATCATATCATTTGTATATCCTATCAATTGTACATCATGTCATTTGTATATCGTGTCATTTGTGTATCATTGTGTATCATGTCATTTGTGTATTATTTCATTTGTATATCACGTCATTTGTATATAATGACATTTGTATAGCATGTCATTTGTTTATCGTGTCATTTTTGTATCATTTCATTTGTATAGCATGTGATTTGTATATCGTGTCATTTGTATATTGTGTCAATTGTATATTGTGTCATATGTATATTGTGTCATTTGAGTATCATTGTGTATCGTGTCATTTGTATATTATATCATGTCATTTGTATATAATGTCATTTGTATAGCATGTCATTTGTATATTGTGTCATTTGTATATTGTGTCATTTGTGTATCATTGTGTATCATGTCATTTGTGTATCATTTCATTTGTATATCATGTCATTTGTATATCATGGCATTTGTGTATCATGTCATTTGTATATCATGGCATTTGTGTATCATGTCATTTGTATATCATGTTATTTGTATATCATGTCATTTGTGTATCATTTCATTTGTATATCATATCATTTGTATATCATGTCATTTGTATATCATGGCATTTGTGTATCATGTCATTTGTATATCATGTCATTTTTGTATTATATCATTTGTATATCATGTAATTTGTGTATCCTGTCGTTTGTATATCATATCATTTGTGTATCATGTCATTTGTATATCATGTTATTTGTATATCATGTCATTTGTATATTATGTCATTTGTATATCATGTCATTTGTATATTATGTCATTTGTGTATCATGTCATTTGTATATTATATCATTTCATTTGTATATCATGTTATTTGTATATCATGTCATTTGTATATTATGTCATTTGTATATCATGTCATTTGTATAGCATGTCATTTGTGTATCATGTCATTTGTATATAATGTCATTTGTATATCATGTCATTTGTATGTCATGTCATTTGTGTATCATTTCATTTGTATATCATATCATTTGTATATCATGTCATTTGTATATCATGGCATTTGTGTATCATGTCATTTGTATATCATTTCATTTGTATATCACGTCATTTGTATATAATGTCATTTGTATATCATGTCATTTGTATGTCATGTCATTTGTGTATCATTTCATTTGTATATCATATCATTTGTATATCATGTCATTTGTATATCATTTCATTTGTATATCACGTCATTTGTATATAATGTCATTTGTATATCATGTCATTTGTATATTATGTCATTTGTGTATCATGTCATTTGTATATCATGGCATTTGTGTATCATGTCATTTGTATATCATGGCATTTGTGTATCATGTCATTTGTATATCATGGCATTTGTGTATCATGTCATTTGTATATCATGGCATTTGTGTATCATGTCATTTGTATATCATGTCATTTGTGTATCATTGTGTACCATGTCATT